GTTGCCTAATAATTATGCACACCTGATATAGGGTGTTGATGTCATTAGACCACACCCCTTCTTATTACAGAGATGCACATCACCTAATATGCTTAATTGGTAGTAGGCTTTGGAGCCTATACAGCTTGGAGTAAGACAACATGCATGAAGAGGATGATGTGGACAAAATACTCATTTGCCTAATAATTCTGCACTCCATGTATTTGCATTACTATTCATTAACTCGGCAGTATGCATATAAAGAAAGAGGTCTCTCTGGTTGCAGGTGAGAGTGTGGTAGTGTGTTTGTACCTGAAAGGGGTATTTGTTCTGGCAGGGGATGACCCCTCCTCCATTCTTGACAATCTCCACACATCTGATGCGACTCACTTCGATGGAGCCCCTCTTGAACTTCTTCTGTTGATGCAAACATCATGTTATTTTTTAATGTTTGCTGTCTTTGTAATATTATCCAACTTGCAGTCTTAGACACTTTGACATTTTGTGCTGACATAGCATATTTGCACATTAGCAGTATTCAAATGATTGTTGAACTAATTTGACATGTAACTCATTTCCTTCAGCAGAATTTTTGATTTAAACTGGGATAAGAGCCCTGTATGCAGCTGTGTGGGCATTCCTGGAAAAACTGAAAGTGAACACTCAGCTTAAAACAGGGTGTTGCTACCTGAACCAACGAGATGTTTAAACAGACATTTTCAGTTTCACAGTTGAAGGGCATAAATCATATTAAAACAATGTAGATTGATGACACTTTCACACCTGTGCAGTACAAATGAACCAGAACCATTAGCTTAACTTAATATAAAAAGAGATAAATGACTATTCTGGCTCAGTGTAACATTACAGAGCTACTGCTGACTCAAATGACTTTAATGTTTTTTGATGAAACAGCCACATGTAGCTGCTATTTACTTAAACAAAAGGTTAAAAATCACCATTTCAAAGGTTAAAAGTCAGGAGAAAAAAAAGGTACCACAAAAGCAAAATTACAATATGTACCAAAAAGAGAAGAAAAGTCATTTTTTAAAAGGCAATATTTTGATCCAAAGTATCATGCATGAAAAACTGGTATAAAATGACCAAATGCCAAAAAAACTTGGTATAAGAAAAGATGCTTTTCTTCCCTGGAAGTTAGACTTCTGCATCATCTCTGCTGTTGTTGAATTCTCCGAAAGCTTTCACTTCAGCATTCTTTGAAAACCGCGTCTCTCTCTAATAATGTCTCTAAAATAACTGCTGAACAGGAGCCCAGCTTGCTGTTTCCAGTTTTCATCTTCAAGTAAGCTGACTGGATACTAAACATGTTTCACTGGCAAGTTCAAACATCTAATTCCCAGACTATGCTATAGGATTATAGTATAGAACCAGGTAAGCATGAACTCTGAACCAGTGCTTCTCCTTATTGTCTGTTATTTGTGTCTTGTTCCTATAAAACATGGCCAAAGTTTCAAAATGAAGTCACTACATGTATGTGAGCCAAAACTCACGTTGTTGACTGTTGCGAGCTCTCCTTTTCTGTCCTTTTTTCCCCCCAGTTTTGGTTTTGGATCTGTATGATGTCATAGAGAGGGGATATCCCTAATATGGTCATTAAAACCCACAATCATTTATTTCTATGAGAGGCAGCCAGTCAGAAGAAGCTCTGTTAAAGTAAGGGTGGCCTTAACTGAAGGGGGTTAAATCAGGTTGTAGGAGAGACTGTAAAAAAATAAATAAGAGTTGTTTTTGTATTTTAATCATGCAAAATTACTCCAATAAAGTTCAAGAATAAAGTTACAGAGCTGGACATGAGCAGAATAAGTCGGCTTTAAGAAAAAGAAAAAATGATCAGATTGTCAGTGCTCGTCTTCCTCATGATCCATCACAATTCACAGGTTGTTATAATGTCTGGGAACTAAAATCCCTAAAATCCACTGAGATGTCAGGGAGACTTACAGTCACATCATGTACAAATCAATGTTGTTTCACTAAAGTCTAACCAGTACTGTAGGAGTGGAAGATGAACGCTTCATCATCACATAATCTCATCAGTACTAAAGGAGCTAAAAATAAAAATACAACATCCATCCATCTTCATCCGCTTTATCCGAGGCCGGGTCGCGGGGGCAGCAGCCTAAGCAAAGAGGTCCAGACCTCCCTCTCCCCAGCCACCTCCTCCAGCTTATCCGGGGGAACACCAAGGCGTTCCCAGGCCAGCCGAGAGATATAATCTCTCCAGCGTGTCCTGGGTCTGCCCCGGGGCCTCCTCCCGGTGGGACATGCCTGGAACACCTCACCCAGGAGGCACCCAGGGGGCATCCTTGTCAGATGCCCGAACCACCTCAGCTGGCTCCTTTCGATGTGGAGCAGCAGCTGCTCTACTCTGAGCCCCTCCAGGATGGCCGAACTTCTCACCCTATCTCTAAGGGAGAGCCCAGCCACCCTTCGGAGGAAGCTAATTTCTGCCGCTTGTATCCGCGATCTCGTTCTTTCGGTCACTACCCACAGCTCGTGGCCATAGGTGAGGGTAGGGACGTAGATCGACCGGTAAATTGAAAGCTTCGCTTTTACACTCAGCTCCCTCTTCACCACGACGGACCGGTGCAGCGTCCGCATTACTGCAGCTGCAGCCCCAATCCGTCTGTCGATCTCCGGCTCCCTTCTCCCATCACTCGCAAACAAGACCCCGAGATACTTGAACTCCTCCACTTGGGGCAGGAACTCATCCCCGACCCGGAGTGGGCACTCCACCCTTTTCCGGCTGAGAACCATGGCCTCAGATTTGGAGGTGCTGATCCTCATTCCCGCTGCTTCACACTCGGCTGCGAACCACTCCAGTGCGAGCTGGAGGCCCTCACTCGATGAAGCCAACAGAACCACATCATCTGCAAAAATCAGAGATGAGATTCTGAGGCCACCAAAGCGAAAGCCCTCCGCCACTTGGCTGCGCCTAGAAATCCTGTCCATAAAAATTATGAACAGAACCGGAGACAAAGGGCAGCCCTGGCGGAGCCCATCACCCACCGGGAACGAGTCCGACTTATTGCCGGCAATGCGAACCAAGCTCTCGCAACGGTTGTATAGGGATCGAATGGCCCGTAGCAATGGGCCAGACACCCCATATTCCCGCAACACCTCCCACAGGACACCCCGAGGGACACGGTCGAATGCCTTCTCCAAGTCCACAAAACACATGTAGACTGGTTGGGCAAACTCCCATGCACCCTCAAGTATCCTGGAGAGGATAAAGAGCTGGTCCAGTGTTCCGCGACCAGGATGAAAACTGCATTGTTCCTCCTGTATAAAATGTAAAAATACAACAAATGAACAGAAACTGAAAGCGACCTCAGCTCTTCCATCGTAATATGTCAGCCGGCTCTTGGTGAGGACGAACAGCCTCTCCTTGTAGTTCAGCGGCGACGTCCTCTTCTTCTGCTGCGAACGCTTGATTAGCATCTCCTCCAACAGCAGGTCTGCACTCATCCTGGCCCCGCCGACGGCCTCAGCCCATTGGTGGAAGACGTCAGACCGCAAAGGTATGGAACTGATCTAAGAGAGATGACCAAATTCTCAGATATAACTCATTCCTCCTTCCAGATAAACACACCTTTAGATTTGTTGTTCCAAAAAAGTTAATACATTTCCTGAGATGAAACAAATTAGAACCAGGTCTGTATCATCAATATGGCCACAAACAGGAAGTCCTCCTTTGTCTGTGACCACATTGTTCTTCTACCACAGTAGAACTTTATCTTCAATAAATGCTGTCTCCTACATTTCTGGTGGTACGGAGCTTTTTGGGAAGCTGGACACAGCGAGCAGCTCTGAGGGGTTTTATTGCACTTTCTGTGGAAGCCTTATTTAGCAGGAATTTATTTTTGGTCATTACATCCACCCGTACTCTGAGGAAGTGCAGCCATCTATACCGAGCTTTCATTATGACTTATTTCTGTCTGTCTGATTCTGCTTTTTTTTGTCTTTAGAGCCACAAGGCTCATAAGCAGCGTCTCTGTTTACATGCGACGCACACTGATTTCCTTTATTTCACCGGCAACGCTCAGTTATCTTTATAATAACACAGTTTAGTTTCACTTGTGTCAACTCATTACACCTCAGCCTTTGTTGTTTATTTTCTTCTAGAAAGATGTGATTCATCCAGGATAAGATTTAAGAAGGGCTCACAGATCTCTTTTTACTTTTAAGAGTGAATAACATGATTTCAGTTTGGTTTCTTCTTTTTCTAAGTTGAAGCTGCTCTGTGTAACACCATAAAAACACCACATATGTCGCTTTAACAAAGTAATGAACTCTAATGACCTTTGCACTCAGTGGCTTCACAAGCTATTCATTCACTGTCAGCTCATTATGCAGTGATCACATAGCTCTCTTGCTGATTATCAGCTCATTTGCTGTGATTGATTCAATGTCCCAAGTTCAATCAGCACAAACTACTGAGTGTGATTAATAAAAACATGTGGGCATGTAATTCATCGACTAGAAATGACCATAGTCACTAGCATTTATGGGTAGGTGAGTAGCATATTAAGCTTACAAACCACATCCGATAGTCAGTACATCTTTTGTGGCGGTTAACCATCCAGTAAAACACTGAGTCAATCGATAATGTCAAAGTAAAAGAGGTGTTTTGTCTCGAGCTGATGCAGGATGTGCTCTTATCTGTGTCCGCCAAAGCTCTTCTCTCAGTTTGAACTTATCAGGTGATTTACAAATTTGGTTGGTAAGTAATAAGTAATTCCGTGCAAATCTATCAGAGGCAAGGCAAATGGTTAGCTGCACTACACAGAAGCCTTTTGTTTCTGCTGTGTGAAACAAGTAATGTGAGCGTTCAACATCAGGAGGCAGATGGGGTCGGGCGTGACCAAGCAGCAACATTTGAGGTTAAAAATACATGCCAATGCTCAAGTGCCAACACATTTCCCACAGGGGCCACCTTAAACTGTCACCAAAAGTGCATAAATACCCACGGACTCCTAATTTTACGATTCTCAAATTCAGCTGTGGAAGTCACTTTTTTTTTTTTTTTCTTAAAGCAAAAAAAGGGGGGGG